ATATTTCTCGGACATTTCGTTACTTTACGGGAAGTTCCAGCAATTTGCCTTAATTTGCACTAGTTATGAGTTTTGTTTTAGAAAAAATGAGGTTAAAATATTCGCGTGATAAGATTCAGTGATTTTATTAATATTTTTCCATAAAGTTAGCTTTTTGGACCCCATTGAAAACTGATAAAAGAAGCAGAAAAAATGAAAGTGTCTGATTGTTAAAAAAATGTTCTTCAGTTCCTACAATTTTGGCTTCTTGTGGTGAGTTTAAATTTACATATGAATCATATGTAAACTGAATAAATATAAATGCTTATAATATAAATGTATTATATATTGAAACAACAATGAACAAATATATGAATATTTTTTTTTTGAACAGCAATCAGAACCTTACGTCCTATAAGCTGTTGGGCTGAAACTTCTCCTTCCTTCGTATTTTTTTTAGATGGTAACCCAATGGTTATTCCATCCATATTTGATGATTTTGTTATTAGAATTAATCCAATAGGACTGACATTTTATTGGTATCTATATTTTCAAGTGAAAATCGTTGTCACTGCTGCCTGACAACAGACTGGTCGAAGTGGGTATCGAACCCGGGACCTCTGAAACAAGTCCCGTCGCTTTTAACCGCTAACTTAATGGCGAGCCCATGAATCAATATGAGTTAATAAATATGATAAAAGAAATATGCAAACGTTATACTCTCATCATGTGATCAGAGTAAGAATCAATGTTTTATTTTGTCAGTTGCATCACCTATGACTGATTACATTCTTCCAGGGAGCTGTACTTTATTAAATTTGTATAAAATAAATGGTTTATATTACTAAATAATTTTCATTATATTATACCCTAATATTATAGTTTCGATATACAATTTTGTGCTAATTAACTTCCCGTAGGGCAAGTTATAGTAATCGCAAAAAAATCAAAAATGAAAATTTTTATATATCTTTACGTTTCAGAGGTTTCTGAACATTTTGGCATATCTTAGAAAAAATGGATGTATGTGTGTGTGTGTATGTATGCGCGGATACAAATTTTCGTCGACGATTTCGGGAACACGGATCAACCGATTTGAATAATTCAAAAATCATTCGATTCGTATTGATAAGGAGACGTGCTGATTAGTTTTTGGCAAAAGCAGGTCTAGCCGTTCCGAAGATACGAGGCAAAAAGATATTTTCATGAAGGTAGGTCTAGCGGTTTCGGAGATATGAAGAAAAAAATAAAAAAATGAGCCATTTGGCGGTCAAAAATGATCATTAGACATATGCACATCAAATTATGAGATATTTTATAGAGATTTTAACAATAAGTATACATTTTGTTAACATTCCTATGGGTTCCGTACCAATGCTTATGCGTTAGACAGTTTTTTTTTTTTTTTAATTTCAATAATTATTACAACTGCTAATTTATTAACATTAAGTAATATTGATAAATAATAATATGAATTTAAATAAATAAAAGAGCAAAGGATAAAATTTACATGAAAATAATATCCGTAATATGATTTAATGTAAAATATAAGTAAATAATAATATAAATAAGATTAATAAATAATATAAATAAAATTTCATATTGCTTTGAGAAGAAAGTTCAAATCTTCCACAATATGTCAAAATAAAGAAAAAAAATTTTTTTTTCAAAAAAAAAGTAATTTTTTGTCCAATTTATAGTTTCTCAATAATTTTATTTTTTCTAAGTAATTTTTTTTCAAAAATGTTAATCGTTTTTAAAAAAATAATAATTTTTGGTACGGGAAGTTCCAGCAATTTGCCTTAAGGCACGATGCCTTAATTGCCTTAAGACAGAATTCCACTTACAGCTAGTTAAATATTTATTTCAATGCTAGGTACAGAATTTTTCGAGAGCAGGTGACTAAAGATATTAGCTAGACAGGAACGAGAAGAAAGTGCAATTTTGTGACAAGCTGACTCGAGCAATCAATAAAGGTATTATGTAAGAACATATGTTTCGCTATCAATGAGATGTAACGAATCTTCTATTAATTATAGATACAGTTCTTAAAAATTCTGCTCATTCATGAACAAAGTGTTATTACTATTTTACAAGTAAGTATTGACACTGACTCACATATGAGTATATATATATATATATAAAGCGAGAGGTTTTTCTTCACGTGTTGACACGTAACTCTGTCTCCAAACTAACAAGATGTGCTTTTGGAATAAGCTTTTTTATAATAAAACATATTATTTATTTTAATTTTTACAATTTTCAAAAATTTTCATAACTTGATGTTTTTTCAATTTTTTATTTCTTACTTATTTTTTTCGTTGCAAATTTGTGTTGTGCTTTGTGCTATTTTTTTTAAATTTATTTGTATGCACTGAAGATGGGTCAAATCTGGACCCGAAACGTATGTTCTCTTAATTAAAACATTTTGCATTAAAACTGTTTTTTAAATTATTGGATGGATGCCCAAGAAACAATTTTTATCATATATATATATATATATATATATATATATATATATATATGTGTGTGTATATATGTATAATGTGTGTACGTGTTTTAGTGTTGATCTGCTTTAATTATTTATTCAACGTTTCAAAAAAGCAATGCAGCTTTGAAGCAGTATAATATATATACATATATATATATATATATATATATATATATATATATAATTTATTAAAGTAGCATTTTATAAATTAATTTTGAGAAATAAACTTTTTTTCAATAAATGGTCTCCTTAAGTAAAAATATTTTTTTTAGCTAGAAGGGATGAATTAAATGCCCCAGAATTAACAATGCATGTCCAATTCCTATCCAACTTACGGTCGGAGTATCCCGCTCGAGATACGGATAGGACCAGCGGTCAGGTCAGGAATACGGATATGACAAGCTGGACGCACCGTTGGATCGTGCTGCGCTCGAAGAATGTTCGCATGCGGATCATCTCGTGCTGTCTGAGACACACACATACATTTTTTCACAGGTATGCCAAAATGTTCAGAAACCTTCAAAACGTGAAGATATGCAAAAATTTTTGGGAAGTTAATAATCAATAGTTATTGATCAATAATTAATAACAATTGTTTTAAATATTTTCAAAGATATCATTTCTATATATGTATTCATTTATATAATATATAGTGACTAGCTTATCGCTCAAAACTCTTGAAAATATTTAAATTAAGAAGAGTAACTGAATGATCCAACTGAGGATATATTTAATACGATTACAATAACGCGTATAAAATATATACATTTTAGGCCGATGTAAATTTTAAATTTATATTTAAAGTATCAAATTTTATATAGTTTTGAAAATTTTGAAAACAAAATTTATGGAAATTTTAAAATTTGTTTGAACGGTATAAGTGATCATTAGAAATTAAAAATCTTGATTCCGAACTCGAAAAAAATAGTAACAAAATTGATCATATTTTTAAAATCTCTATAAAATATCCGATAATTTGATGTGCATATGTATAATGATCATTATAGACCGCTAAATTAATTTTTTTTTACATTTTTCTCTGTGTCTCCAAAACCGCTAGCCCTGCTCTAAAAATATAATCATTTCTTTATTTTGTCAATACAAGTAAATTGTTTTTTTTAAATCATTCAAATGGGACGCTACGTTACTTCCAAAACTGAATTATTATTCTTGGCACTTCTTGTTCCGTATCTTCGAAACGGCTGGACCTTCGCCAAAAACTTATCAGCACGTCTATTAGCAGTAATCGAATGTTTTTTGAATCATTCAATCGGTTGATCGATGCGCCTCAAATCGTGGTCTAAAAATTGTATCCAAACTACACATACACTCACACACACGCATACATTCATACATATAATGTGCCCGCGATTTGGTGCTCTACGGGACGATGTGCAAGAGTCATTGGACAAAGAATTACCCCAGGTAATGTTGTTGAAGTGATGCTGACAAGTGAAGCTGCTTGGAACGCCATAGACAGATTTGCGAGAGAGGTGCTAATTGACCTGCGTTCTGTGGAAAGAGAAAGGGCGAATGGGACTTTGCCCATTTAAACGATGAGTATAAGTTTAAGAATTTTAACACTCATTATAACAAGTAAATAATTATAACATTCTACATCCTCCCCCCACAAAGTATTGCTTAACGGCAGTTTCCGTGGCGACCAGAGGCAAGGGCAAAGCGCAGGTTTTAGTCGGTATTATACCAGGGCGGTATTGAGTCCGACATACCCAGACAAAACATCAGTCTGGAATGCATAAAGGCATTTCCTTCGCTATACAAAAAAACACATACACTCAAGCACATACACTCAAACACATACACTCAGACACATACACTCACACAGAGAAACCTGTGAATCGCCAAGATATGCTACAATTTTTATTATCGGTTTTTGGCGATTACTATAACTTACACTACGGGAAGTTTTTTTTTTTATTTATTTATTACATTTGACCGTTTGGTCATTTAGCCTCATATTACATAAATAATATGTTACAAAATTATAAATATCAGAGAAATACATATTTTACAAATAGTTTACAACATAAGATTGTGACTTAATTCCTAAAACCTTAATAACTAATACTTTATTTTTATAACTATATTTTAATGTTACATTTTTGTAAAAAATATAGATAAAATTTATATATATATTTTCATCATTAGTAGAAAATGCTATTGTGGTGTTAATAGGAAAAATAAAGTTATATTTATACAGTTCTTGTAGTAAGGATGTTCTTTGATTAGCATAGAGCTTGCACTTCCAAAAGATATGGTCAAGATTGTGAATTTCCAATCCGCAAGAACAGAAGAGATCTTCTGCCATGCCAATTCTAAAAAGATGAGATTTGCAGAATGTGTGGGCCGATCTAATACGATTGATAACGGTTATTTCGTCTCTGTTCAACCTAGATTTGGCAAACCATGTACTGAAAGACACTTTTAGTTTGCAAAATTTAAATAAAGTTCCTTTTCTGCCTTCCATATCATATTCGTTTTGCCATAACCTTAATCCTTGTTTCCTTACCCAGCTTTTTAGGTCAGACGCAGGAGCCTTTCTTGAAGGAAAATTTGATAAACAGGCTTCTCTTGCAAGACCATCCACATATTCGTTTCCATGGATATTGGAGTGCCTTTGTATCCATACTAATTTGATCGTGTTTTTATTTTCTAAGACGCTTTCTATTTTGTGGATGGTGTCAAAAATTAAACCATTGCAATTTTCTTTACGATGGTTTAGAGCCAGAAGTGCGGATTTACTATCTGTTAGGATTATGGTTTTTGGAATCTTTTCTTGTATAGCAAAGTCTAAAGCAGCATTAATACATGTAAGTTCTGCCGAAAAGACTAAGGCAAAATCCGGTAAATTAAATTGTAAATATTTGTCTCTATTAGGTACATAGACAGCACACCCCACTTTATTTTCTAACTTGGAACCGTCAGTGTAGATAACAGTAAAATCTTTCCATTCCGTGTCTAACCAATTCTCAAACTCCCTGTTTATTATATTTTTATTGGAATGATGAGTCATATAATTGAAGTCATTCAAGCCTATATATTTCTTGGGAAATGAGTAAATCCAAAAATGACTATGGTACGGTAGTTTATCATTTGTAATTATCAGGTCTTCTAGAGGTTTCAAATTATAAAATCCAGTTATTAATGGAGGTGTAGGTCTGTTTTTCCAATAGTTTACCCTAAAATGCAAAACAGCTAAATATTCCAATTGCTTCGGGATTCGTTCTGAATCCGAGTTGAATTTTTTAATTGAAAATCTATTAGTTAGTATTTGTTTCCTAATGTTCAGTGGGGCTTCCCCGGCTTCCGCTAAAACGGCAATGCGAGGCGTTGACCTTATAGCTCCCAAGCACAGTCTTAAAGCCGAAAGTTGAGCTTCATCTAGTAATCCTTGTATATTGGTTGAGATTCCTCCGTAAATGAAGTATCTATAATCAATATGTGATCTAATTATGGATTTGTAGATAGCTAAACATGAACTTTGGTAGACTCCCCAGTCAATTCCAACCAATCTTTTAATGATATTCTTACCTGTTTCACATTTTTTGATCACCTCTTCAACGTGCACCCGGAAGGTCATCTTTTTATCAAAGGTAACCCCTAAAATTTTCACACTATCGTATATTTTACACATCCAATTCCCCATATTGATTCCTTGAGGGTAAAGGAATTTTCTATGCCTGGTGAACAGGATACCCTTTGTTTTGACCAAGAAAAGGTTTAGGTGGTTGGACCTCATCCATTCTGAGACACCTGTGATCGACCACTTGATTTTGTGAATGCATTCCTCAAGTGTGTTGCAAGAAATGTACAAAAATAAATCAATAGCATATTGTAGTTTCTTAACATCGTCTTGGGTAACTGCAGTAAAGTCCGACATATAAATATTAAATAATAACGGACTCAATATAGAACCTTGTGGTAAGCCTGTAAGAGCTACTCTGGGACCTATTAATTTATTTTTATTTTTTACATATAGCAACCTATTGGTTAGTAAAAGAATTATCACTATCATAATATTAGAGGGAATATTCAATTTCTTAAGTTTGTTAAGTAAAATGCCATGATCGACATTATCGTAAGCCTTATGTATATCCGTCGCTAACAATAGCAGGTATCTATTATTCGAATTAGATATATGAATGTCATTAGATAAGATTCTTAAATTAAAGATGTCATTAAATAAGATACTTAAAGCTTAGATGAGTTTCTATTATTTTTGTTGTTAAAAATTTTAACTATATTCCAAAGCTTTGATGTATTAATATTACTATTGAGTGAGTTTGTAAAATTGATCCACTTTTTTCTCTTTTTGGATTTGAGATTTTTTTTGTAATAGCGTTTATTTTTTGTTACTCAATAAAATTGTTGTAAGTAAACTCGTCTACCATCTTTTTGTACGCTATTTTTCTTTGTCTGATCTGGTTTTCACATTCTTCGTCCCACCAGATAGCGGGTTTGAATTGCTTAATTGCCACTGTTTTACGTTCCTTGAAGTGTTTACTAGCTGCTTCGTTTATGATCTCGATAATGGCTGCATATTTAGACTTATGATCCTCATGGAGCATAATATTTTTTAGCTTATCTTCTATTTCTCATGCGTAATTCTTCCAATTGGCTTCTTTAGTATTCCATTTTCTGGAGGGATATATATAGTCTTTTACATCAAAATTAGTCTTTAACGTAATGTTAATCGGCAAATGGTCAGATCCTAAGCTGCCCGTATAAATGTCCCACTGGATTTTATCATATAGATTATTGGAGCAAAGAGTAAGATCTATTAGCGTTTCTTTCCCATTTCCCTTGCTGATAGTGGTTGGTCTTCCATCATTCATTATGTTGAGGTTTAGATCTTCAATTATGCTGTACAAAATCTCACCTCTTCTGTCAATGGAGGCACTGCCCCAAGCTAAATTTTTGCAGTTAAAATCCCCTATTATGAGTATTGGCATGGAGATAGTTTCAATTAAATCTTTAATATTCTTGAAATATTCCTTAGAGTTCGGCGCACAATAGATTGAAATGATACATACAGGGTTTTCTAATTTTAAAATCACTGCACACATTTGGATAAGATGGCACTGAAATGGGTGGTTAATTTTCTCGCATAATAAGTTGTTTTTGACTAGAATGGTAGTACCACTATAACCGTCAACTCTATCTTCTCGAAAAATCCGATAACCTTTGATAAAGTATTTATGACCTTCTTTAAGCCAGGTTTCGGACAGACCTGCCACATGAATTTTATGAGACCACAGATAATGTTCTATACTACTCTTGTTTGCTAACATTGATCTACAGTTATATTGTAAAATGTTTATTTGTTTCATAATGAAAGAAATACTGATTGATTTATTTTTCTGAAGTCACAGGTAAATCCTTATTAGATTTTTTCTTTTTTAAACTTGCAGGATCTATTTTGTGTTCAATTTTTACCATTTTGAGAAAAACATCACTTAACAAATTTTTCAATACGGGATCATTTGGATTATAGATGTCCTTTAGCAGCCTAATGAAATGATATAGGCCACCTGATGCGTTAGGATCTTCACTTTTCCTAATGGATTTTACTTCATTTTCTGAATCGGAATCTGATTTGTTTTTTAATATTTTCTAGGGTTTATAAAATTTCCCTTGTCAGCCATATTTTCTTTACAAACAGGTTTTATGCTATGTCCGATTAGAGCCCCATTCTTTTCTCTCTTGGTTGAGGGTAGAACATGAATCCTTTTAGGTTTATCAAATGTCTTGAAGTGTGCAACATAACCTTGGTCTTCCTCCTCTTCCAGATCCGATAGAACCATGAATTTATTGTTTATTAAAACCCCACTCTGGTTACAGTTCTTGATTTTCATTGGAGGAAAATCTTTATCTTTATTCAAGCTGCTAAGGTTAACTCTAACTGTTCTCGAGTATTTATCGTTATCAAAGATTTTTTTTGCTTTGTAGGAAGATAAATTCTGTGTTGCCATTAATTCATTAATATTTTTATATCTTTTATAGATCCTGCAATCTTTATTATAAGCCTCGTGGTTATCTTTGCACAGGCAGCATAGATAGTTGGTATCTTCTAAACATACGTCTTTAATATGAGGACCGCAAATTTTGGACACCTTAGGTCGTTCCGGAATTTTTCCCGAACGTGGCCAAAACGCCAACATTTGTGGCATTGGGTGATCTTCTTAATATATGGGCTGACTGGGCATTTAACAGAATGTATACCTACCTTATCCGGCAGAATTGAACCTCTGAAAGATAATTTCACGCATTGCGAGTTAATTCTGCGCTTGTTGATGGTTTTTGGTACAAAACACTTTACGCCTATTATCGGAATAACTGATTCTATCTCTTCTAATATTTCTTCTGCCGTGAGATTAATGTTTACATCAAAGATTGTACCTTCCCTAATTAATAGGTATTTAGGAATGTAAGCTTTCAAATTATTAGCAGTAAAAAAATTATCGTGAAGAAGGCTATTTGCTGTTTTACCGTTCCTAAGAACTAGTTTGACTTTATTGTTACCAATCACAATAATCTCCAACAAATCTTCTTTCGATCGTGATCTTTATAGTAGTTTTCCGAGAGCCATCGGGTGTAAACGTCCAATGTTTTTACTTAAAGATTCTACGTAAATGTAAAAAGGTCCAGTATCACACATATCAAAACGATTCGGAAAACGAATTTCATCAACGTTAATTCGATTAGAATTTTCATCACTAGGTACTTGCTCAATCATTTCAATTAACACAACAAAAATGCGGTTAATTTACTTAATTACCACTTAAATTAGCATAAAATACACAATGTTTATACGACACGGCGTGCCCCCGGCAAGGGGACACGTGTTTAGCGGTATCTATTTGTACACAATGCAGTCACTAACACAGGTTACTGGACAGGTAGGAGAAATATTAGTACGTTTTGATATTTATGTAATGCTTATTATTTATTCACCGATGTTAACAGCTCAACGTCTGAACGAATACCGAGGTACGGGAAGTTAATAATAACATTTTTATTTAATAGTATTAAAACAGTCTTGTCAAAATATATTATTAGAATCTGTTTACTTAAGAAATGATGTTTGAAAAATAAATAATCGCACAATGTTATTTTCTGGTGAAGGTATTTGATATATCAGTTTGTGTTCTAGTGCTCGTGAGGTGATACGTTTTTCTTGGTAGATTTGGAAATCCATACGTAAACCGTCATTCTAAATATTTGTGATTTGTGGGATTATTAATTAGTGACATTTTATTTAAAAATGGTTTGGAGTAATAGATAACGTTTACGATCATTCATTTAATATTATTGTGATTTATGAAAGTTGTTGGAAATTTGTGTGATATTGTTTCGGCAGCCGAGAGGTACGCATTGTCTGCAGGTAGAAATTGAATTATTTTAGTGAAGTGTAAATTACATAACAGATCATGGACACCGATAGTGAGTCGCCGGACCCCGGCGGCAGTCCCTTATCAGATATTAAATTCGAAACAGATAGTGCGAGTGAATTTGAAGAGGAAAAAAACACTAATTATGTAGCACAAAAGTCGGTAAATATTAATAATGTAAATAATGAAGCAAGTGATAATTCTAATGAATGTAGTGAGTTAAACAGTAACATTGTAGCGGAAAGTGTAAATAAAAAGTTAAAAACAGACTCAACATCAGGCGTAAATACAGTACAAACGAATGGAAACAGTATTATAACAAATGAAATCAGTGACCCCAAAACTAATTGGTACAACATGTGGGTGAAAACGTCACGACTAAAGCAGATGAAATTATGAAGGAATTGAAATACTATCAGGATACAGACGAAGGCCCATTTATTTTACATGCGGAAAGTAAGGACAAAAATATTGGTAGATTACATCCGATGGCAGTGGGTAGAATTTTTCATAAAAATTTAATTAATATTAGTAAAGAAATAGAAGACATTAGCTCAATTGGCAAAAATAAAATAAAAATAATATTTAACAACTACAAAAGCGCAACTAAAGTTACAAGGGATAAAATGCTTGATGTTTTTAATATTAATGCATACATACCAAAGCACAAATTAGTAAGATTGGGGATTATATTTGACATTAACCCAAGCCTGGACGAAGAAGAAATTTTAAGCTGCATTAGAAGTGAAAGCGAAATTATAAGCATTAGATGCCTAAAGAGTAAGAACAATGAGTCAAGGAAAACAAAGTCGCAGAGAGTTAAAATAGTATTTAAAGGAAATAAGTTACCAGAAAGAGTCTTCATTCATTCAGTCAGCTGCCGAATTTCACCATTTATTCGAAGACTTATACAATGTCATAATTGCTGGAGATTCGGCCATATAAAATTTCAATGCAAGAGCAAGAAAAGATGCAAAAAATGCACAGAAGAACACAAGATAGAAGCATTCAAAAGTGACATAGATTTATGTTGCTTATGTTACGATAACCATCAAGCAGATGATAAAAATTGCGAAGTATACTTAAAAAACAAAAGAATAAAATAAATTATGGCTCTACAAAACACATCTTACATTGAAGCGAAAAAGATCATCCAAAACAATAGATATGCCAAAGCAGCCAGCACATTCAGTCATTATAAGTCCACTTTCCAGAAATTCTTAGTAATATATGAAGTAATTCAGTCCATTCAAATATTAATATATATGATGTACTTTCTGATTTGAAAGAAAATGAAGAGGAATACGATCAAAATAATATAATGAGAATGAATAAGCCAAAAAATATTCTAAGCAGAAATTACAGCAGAAACATCTGTAATAGAAACCTTGGGAATCGGTCAAGTGATATAAAAATAGACAGAAGCGAGATTGATACTCCACGTAATAGGATTCACATTAACAGAAACATAAATATTACGAAAGATCGAAGAAACCTTTTGAAAAGAGACCTCAGCAAATTATTAAAAATCTAGAAGATAAAAGATACGGATCAAATGAAGACAAGGATGAAACAATAGCTTTCATTAAAAGAAAATTAGAATTTATTTTTAATAAATTAAGTGAAGAAGAAACACAAAACAAACTTAATTCTAGTAATAATGACAGCGGTACATATAGAATACCTGCGATATCCTAACGTTTTGATAAACTTTGCTTTTATAGTTAAAAATAAAATCAATTTTGGATAATATAAAAATTTTACAAGACTAAGGAAGAAAGTTAGATAAAATTATAAAGAATAAATTATGAGAATTATGCAATGGAATATTAGATCGTTTTATGCAAATAAAGAAAGTTTAGAAGAGTGGTTATATAATAAACAAATAGATATAATAGCATTATCAGAAACCTGGTTCAATAAGAACAGGCAGTATAATTTAAAAATTTTTAAGTGTATAAGAAAAGATAGGAACGATAATGAAGGAGGGTCGGCATTATTTATAAATAAAAATATAGATAGTAGGGAATATGAAATAAATTTTGAATCAGTTGAAGATAATAAATGTCAAATGTGTGCAGCAGAAGTTGAAGTTCAATAAGAAAAAAAATTATTTGATATCATTATATGTTGTTCCGAAAACGAATATTTCAAAAGAACAATGGAATAGGTTATTT